CTTGTCAGCAGAATAGACGTACTTTCACGAAGTAGGGAATCACCGTCACTGTGATTGAAGAAACTCGCCACGCGTACTTGACGAAATGTTGGCGCCGCTCCATCCACGGCTGTTATCGGCCCGAAAGCCGAGACTGAGATGCTTGCCATTACCTGTACGAACAAGAAGAGCGTTCCATGAGTTGTTTGCATGCTGGCGGTGCCCCCGTGCTCACTCCGAGTAGCGAGGTGATGCCAGGCGTATATAGCCGCGCTAAATGATGGTCGCGATGTCGTTGCGGCTGTTGACGATGACGGGAGGTCGAACAATTGGCCAATGTTCGTACGGCGACTTGTCAGCAGAATAGACGTACTTTCACGAAGTAGGGAATCACCGTCACTGTGATTGAAGAAACTCGCCACGCGTACTTGACGAAATGTTGGCGCCGCTCCATCCACGGCTGTTATCGGCCCGAAAGCCGAGACTGAGATGCTTGCCATTACCTGTACGAACAAGAAGAGCGTTCCATGAGTTGTTTGCATGCTGGCGGTGCCCCCGTGCTCACTCCGAGTAGCGAGGTGATGCCAGGCGTATATAGCCGCGCTAAATGATGGTCGCGATGTCGTTGCGGCTGTTGACGATGACGGGAGGTCGAACAATTGGCCAATGTTCGTACGGCGACTTGTCAGCAGAATAGACGTACTTTCACGAAGTAGGGAATCACCGTCACTGTGATTGAAGAAACTCGCCACGCGTACTTGACGAAATGTTGGCGCCGCTCCATCCACGGCTGTTATCGGCCCGAAAGCCGAGACTGAGATGCTTGCCATTACCTGTACGAACAAGAAGAGCGTTCCATGAGTTGTTTGCATGCTGGCGGTGCCCCCGTGCTCACTCCGAGTAGCGAGGTGATGCCAGGCGTATATAGCCGCGCTAAATGATGGTCGCGATGTCGTTGCGGCTGTTGACGATGACGGGAGGTCGAACAATTGGCCAATGTTCGTACGGCGACTTGTCAGCAGAATAGACGTACTTTCACGAAGTAGGGAATCACCGTCACTGTGATTGAAGAAACTCGCCACGCGTACTTGACGAAATGTTGGCGCCGCTCCATCCACGGCTGTTATCGGCCCGAAAGCCGAGACTGAGATGCTTGCCATTACCGTTTTGATAACAACAAGGAAAGCTCGCATAGAGCAGTTACCGTTCTAACTACTCAATCATGTGACGGGATATACCCACTTTTTCTATAGGTGTAGGAAGAGGTAGTTAGGTTCTGCTGGCCACCGCTTAATTGCCCACCGTGTCTTGGCTTCGTGCCGACACAATATCAATAGGGATGCTGTAAATTGCAAATTCATTTTGTTAGAGCTGCATTGGGTTAGCACTTTTATCGCACTTGTGCAGTATTGGTCGACACAGTATAAACATCAGATTCGTCATGTTATGAACAGGCCCTTTTAAGAAATCTGCACAGGTCAAGATTGTTTCACACAGTTTTTGTGACAACTGTACCATTCCGTAATTTCACTGGGGCCCCCATCTTCAAGGCATCTGGCCCGTGGCATGGCTAGCCACCGCTATTCAGCTGCGATCAAATGCTTGCGTCAATGTGAAATGGGAGAGCTGAATGGACCCTTGACCTTAGCGTAGAAGCCCGGTCCAGAGGTTAGGGATAACCCGTCATGTGACAGATAGATGACACGAGAGTCACTACAATGGCGTCCCTCCATAAAAGCTGGCTGTTTGCATGGCGGCATCAAAATCTTACGGATCACAGTATAATTATGCTCTTGGCATATTTCCTTTTCTTTTCTATATGCTCATGCATAGATCGGTGCTAGCACCAAAATATCTGTTTTCTTTGTGCCCCATTACGTCCATGGTGCACCAGCCTAGTTGTGCAGTAAACATTCCCAAGAGACGATTTGTACACTCAAGTTTTAGACGAGTGTGGTTGTTGTTGTTAAAAACCTCCCTTATTGAATCGAATAAGAATATAGAAAAAAGGGAAACGATGGGTGGCTGCCCTATTCGGGGGCTCCACCGGCCTTGGACGCTATCGCCACTCTCGTTGCAGCAGTAGCTGTTGGTTGAGGTCCTTGCTGCGTAACACGGCCTCCCATTGTTCTGTCTTCGGATTCGCGAATGGCACTAGGCCTCGGATCTTCTGACAGGCCGACACGACGAGATGAGCCTCGGCTCGTTCGCACCCGCAGTGTGTGCATGCGGGAGACGGGAGGGACGACGGGTACCACGCATTGAGTCTGTCTGGCGCTGGTTGTGAATTCGTCTACAGTCTTCGTATAACGTGTTCTTCTTTCGAGAGATTCTTATATGGAAGAGGGAATCGCCACCTGGCGAGTCGTGTGGCATTTAGTCGTTCGGAGTATGATGCTTCGTCGTCAGCATCGTCGCAGCGGGAGGGGAAGGCCCGTTTGGGAAGTAAACATTGGGCCGTGGCCTGAGCCGCCTCGTTCCCCCTGCGTCTTATGTAGCCCTGTGTCCACACGACATGTGCCGACTCCGGTGGGTGCTTTCGAGCCAGTCTTGCTGCTACGGGTCCGACAGAGCCCGCCTCAAAGTTTCGACACGCTGCCTGAGAGTCTGTAAGCACAGTCACTTTCGGGTTCCAAGTGACGGGCAGAGCTATGGCCACCATCTCAATGGGGGTTGTAGACTTGATCTTCTTCACTGACGCTGCACTGATCGTCTTCTCGCTGTCCGACGACATCATGGCCGCCGTTGCGATTCCGTCGTGTCCCTGGGCCGCGTCTATGTATGCGGTTCCGCTCCTGCAATCCCACGTGCGCCCCAGGGCCTCGGATCTTGCTCTTCTCCTGTCTGTGGCTCCCTCCGGATGCATGTTTTTCGGTATTCTACTGATCTTGATCCTGGCTCCGACTTCTCGAGGAAGGTCCTTGGATGGAGGGGCCCGGCTCCCATGAGCTTCCAAGTTCAGCTTCCCAAGCAGCCTTTTCCATCCCGTCCGGCCGTTTGAGTTGTGCTGCAATCTGTGCGTCTCTCAGTTCCTCCAAAGTGTTGTGTACACCCAACTCCACGAGCCGCTCGGTGTGTATGCTCTCGCTCTCCCAGTGCCCGCTTGAAGGCCTTCTTAATCGTGACGTTCAACTCTCCCAGTTCGGTCACTGTGAGGGCAAGGTAGGCTGCACCAGCTGGGTCGTTTTTTTCTCCTTAAGTTTGTGCCTCCTGTTGCATGTTCTTCACAGCATACCAGCCACTTGTTCGGTCGAGGTAGCCAGCTTCCGAATAGCCACCATCTTAGGTACCTTTGCCCTGGGGAATATTCTGCCCTAGGATCTGGACCATGCTAGGCTTTGGTATCGGTTGGTTGTCGAGTTTGATGTCCTGTGTAGACGTGTGTGGCCGGAAGCCGAACTGAGAGTTTGCCAAGAGTGAGTGCCTTTCGATATACTTCGTCAGTCGGGTGTTGATCACCCTCTCAAAGGCGAATTTTGCTTGAAAATATTTGAATGTCTCTACATTTCACTTTCCTCTGGCGTTTACACACTCCACAGCAACGCACAAATGTTGAACAGAAATTTTATGCGAAGCGATCAGAGCTGTGGCACAGCTTTGTTCGGGAGGTGGCACTCATGGTGGACTGCTTCGTCCAACTGATATTGCTTGTTGTCTTGTTCCTTGAGGTGGAAGCTTGGCAGGTGGTGCACGAAGAAGGTGGCTTTAGGGAGAGGTTTTGTAATAGAATACTATTTATTTCACTTTACGAATTATATGCACATTGTGTACACAATAGGGGACAGTTGTTATTTCAGTCAAATTCCAAAGAAGCCAAAAGTCTGAACCCGTCACCTGTCATGTACTTTTGAGTCCTACATCCTCCTCACCCTTAAGAAAGGGCCGGCAAATAATTTTGAAATCTGTCGAAGCCATGGGCTGTCCCTCGTCCCACAGTTTAGTGGGCTATGACTCGCACATTTGTCAAGTCCCCAACGATCCTGAAGTTACAGCCCCATAGCCTCGACTGTCGTCTCGGTTCCCACCAGCAGGGCTGGGCAGAGATGCTCAAAAAAGTATTTCAGAATAAAGATACTGAGATGTATTGGTGCTCTCGCTGGGCACGTAGCTGCTTATTAGGCAGATAGTGAGACCCTCTAGATTGAAAAATAATTTAGATATTCGTGGTCCTGGGGCAAAAGAAAGACAACTTAAGTGTTTTTAGACCGCAGTTCTTAGGCGCCCATTCCCGCATTTCGTGGCGTCGCTATCACCGTCGGCGTCAGCATAACCGGAGCAGGAGGAAGAAAAAATATACTATTCTATATTATTCAGAGGAGGGGAGGGAGGAGGAGGAGGGTGCAGAGGAAAGAAGAGGATATGGAGGAGGAGGGGAGGGTACAGAGGGGGAGGAGGGCAGAGGGGTACGGAGGTGTTATAGAGGGCACGCAATTACCTATTTTGAATAAGTGGTGTGTACTTATGCATTATTTACAGGTAGAAAAAAAAACACCTATTCAAATCGGAACACCTTAAGAGCTGCGCTCCAATTTCGCATTACAGAGAAACATAAATGTCTAAATTTTTCTCAAGTTCAGTACCACTTCATTTAGCCGAGTTTTGTCTTCCCTTTTATTCACCCTCTTCCATGTATAAGTTTTTTTCTCTTTCATGCCCCAGTCCCGAGTTAGGTTACATCATACCCTTGTTAGGAGAGCAGCAACCATTGATGGGGATGCGAGCTCTTCATCAATTCACACCAGAATAATATTGTGGCAACATGGTTACAGATACATTCAGAGGGCATGTTTAACATGTGCTGCAGCTTTTATACAAATGGTTGACTATGAAAATTTCAGAGGAACCCACTTGTTTGATCTAGATAGCCGGCCCTATGCTCTTCAAGTGTTTAAACAACAGCTAGCAGAAAAGCCAAGCTCCAAAAAATATGCAGTCATACAGTTCCACAACTTGAAGCTTTTAAAAACTTAATCATCAGCTGCTGATGCCATTTAATTTATTGTGGACTCCCGTTTTTCTAGGTACCCAATACTGCCCAGTGGGAGCGCATCGCAGCAGGCTTCAGCACTCAGTGGAACTTCCCGAACTGTGTCGGGGCCCTGGATGGAAAGCACGTGGCAATTGAGGCTCTACCAGGTGCAGGCTCCGACACATTCAATTACAAAGGCTTTCACAGCATTGTGCTGATGGCCTGCTGCGATGCGAGCTACAAGTTCACCCTGGTGGACGTCGGGCAGCCTGGGCGGTACAGCGATGGCGGTGTGTTCCGCAACTCCGAGATGGGCGAGCGGATCCTGTCGGACACAGCAAGCCTGCCTCCGCCAGCGCACCTGCCCGACACAAGGACGAAGCTCCCATTTGTGTTTGTGGGGAACGAGGCGTTTCCCCTGCTCACAAATCTGATGCGCCCCTTTCCTCGTAAGGGCCTGAAGTTACCACAGAAAGTGTTTAACTACAGGCTCTCTCGAGCAAGGCGCGTCATTGAGAATACCTTTGGGATACTTGTGGCGCGTTGGCGCATATTCAGACAACCAATCCAGGCGTCCGCGAAGACCTTGGAGGCCGTTGTCTGGGCATGTGTCAGCCTCCACAACTATCTCAGGGCATCGGACGAGAGTGAGCGGGGGGAGCGCCTCTACTGCCCTACTGGGTACGTTGACACTGACAAGGAAGGTCACCCGGGCCAGATCACCAACGGCCGCTGGCGGGTTGAGAGTGCTGACGGCACTGCTCTCTCGGATGTGGGGCGTGTCAGCTCCAACACGCATGCAACAGTTGCCAAAAGTGTCCGTGAGAAGTACATGAAGTACTTCTGCAGCCGTCGTGGCGAGGTCCCATGGCAATACAATATGGTGTTGAGGGGAGCGGCACCGGCAGCACCTAATGCCTAGGATGCCCGACTATAGTAAGTGACAGGTCAAGAACGAAGTGGAAGCTCCTCCCACCTCTTTCCACTTCGGCAGAGCGACCGCGCGAGAGGTGAGCTCCTCTCCACTGTTCGCTCCGCTGAAGTGGAAAGGGGTGGGAGCAGCTTCCACTTCGTTCTTGACCTGTCACCGACTATACCGTATTTACTCGCATACTCCACAACAGGCATCAATATTTTGACTTTTTTTTTCTCGTGTAATCAGCACATTTTTAATTTTTGGCTCCACAAGTCTTGAACTGCGTCCGACTTAGCCGGCTATCCACCAAAGCCCGCCAATTTTCTTTTGCCGCCAAGAGGCCACGCCAAGTTAAGCAAAGCCAAGCCACTCTTGTAATGGCTGCAGTGCGTGGTTGCAGAAGTGATCAACCGTGAAACCAAGTGATGCTGGGGTTGAGGAATTGCCCAGCCCCGGACATGCTTCGTCTATCTGATGCACTGATGTCAACAAAAACGCCATGGTCTGTTATCCACTTTCGGACAGTGTTATTGTGAAAGTGGATAGGCCTAAGAACGGTTGCGTCGCTCTCCGTGCTGAGTGAGCTTCGTAGGGCGCTTTCTCTTCGGCAAAAGGCGTGCCAAAAGCGCTAAAAAAGGTTTGCAAATTAAAGAGTACAGCTACTGTGGTGCGCTCATGACCAGCCATGGTTGTGCCTCCATCAGTGAAGACGTGCCACAGGATCCTGCCATGTCATATTGGCACCTAAAATAACATTTGAACGAAGTGTGTAAATGCAAAAATTTTACCCTGTGTAAGGAACGCTGCCCCCCAAATATGTGTCAATTTTTCGGGAAAACAACCGTGTTCATTATGCGAGTAAATACGGTAGGTAGATTGTTAGGACTGTAATGTGTAATTGTGAGGCGGCATTCACAAAACCTTTGGAAGGAAGGCACAACAGAGATATGAGTGTGTTTCAGCCCTTGTTTTGTGCAATTTGTTTTCTTTGTGAAATGCTTTTGGATTTGCCTGTATATATTTGCCATGTAAAATTGCAGGAAATAAACTTGCAGTGAGATAACCTGCAATTCCTTTGGAGCAGTACAGTACAAGTAATTTATTCAAAGGCACATGTGGAGTATGCAAGGTCACAGTATTTATCACAGTAAAATGATGCAACTCTAAATAATACTTTGCTGTTGAACACTGCAAACATATTCAAAAACCTGCACTTATCATATTGCTCACTTTTACATCAGTGATGTCTTGCTTTTTCAAAATAAGCCTTTGTCATATTGCACGCACCTTAGCTGTGTTGAAACCTGCCAACATATTATGCACCTCGGCAGAAGACTTCTGGAACACAAGTTGTAACTTAACAAACGCTCATACAAAAAAAAAAAAAAAAAAAAATTTTTTTTTCACAAGCACTTATGAATTTGTCTTTTCTGTTCCTCTTATTTAAAATATGCCTAACATATACTGAGGGAGCATCCAGTTGGTACAAGTTATTGTGAGAACAGGTTAAAACATGAACGAAGTAGCGACTGGACAAACCAGGGAAATGTTTAACTGAAGGTTTCATTTGTGATAAAAGCAACACAGCCTTCACTTCTGCTCAGGAAGGATGTGCATAGGCAAAGAACAAAGTTTTGTAATGCAGTGTCCAGACCATATTCTCTTATAAAATGACACAGGGTGGAAGTAAACAGAGGCCAGGTGTTTACGGCACAGCCTGTGTTTACGTCCACCCTGTGTCAGATGGCGTTCTAAAGATCCTTTTCACTAGGCTCCTTTATAAAATTGGCTAATCTGCTCACGATGTTGAGTGCGCACGTGCTCTACGGCGTGCACTGGTTCTTCGATTTTAAAAAGGAGCCTAGTGAAAAGGATCTTTAAAATGCCGTCCGACAGGGGTATTAATATGTTCAGGTCACGCGAAAGGGAACCTCGTTTGTTTGGTATGCTTATTTTATATATTGAGATAGTTGGTCCTTGTGTCTGAACAGTGTCGTTAAGAGCCACATTTGCCGTTAGAGGTAGATGTTGCTGTTAACCACATTTGGATGATATTGGTGTGCTACTCGGACACAAGGACCAACTATCTCAACAGATAAAAGCATGCCAAATAAAAAAGAAGGGTCCTATTTGCGCGAGTCAAACATCTTTAGTTCTCATAGGTAGCAGAGCGGCCATTTTAGACCCGAGCTAGTGTCCGTTTACTTTCACACTTTTTTATTGTATTAAAAAGTGTGGTCTTATGACACTGTAACAGAAAACCTTGTTCTGTGCCTGTGCGCATCATACCCTATTAGAAGTCTCATTCCTGCTGTTTTCTTCCAAAACTTTAAAGTAATAGTTAACGCTTCTATTGTCAAGTATGAATGTAACTAAAGGTTATAGAATGAAGGTGAAATGAAACCACAGTTTGGCAGCAGGTATTTTTCCATGACTGTGCCAAAAGTAAATGCTATATGAAATTGCAAACAAACATAAAAGACTCGAATGAAAGAAATTGTGAACCTATACAGTTGCCAACCTAATGCTCACACTCGTCAAAGTGACCTTGTTGCTGAAATTTATAAATTATTTTATGTATTTCAAACTTTGCTGAAGCCTGCAGGTGCTGAGGCACCAATGCTAATTCATGGCTGATGCTCAGTGCAAATGCCATGATGGCAGGATTACTGCTGTCCATATGCGGCCTTGTGCATGAATTTGCCATTGCGCTCGAAGTTTGTCCGAGTACCCTCAGGAGCTCGGATTCCTCTCGCGTCCGGATGTGCTGGGCGCTAGACCTGGCACGCCGCTTGGGAGCCGGTGGTCTTGGCCCTTCAGGAGACGCGGGCCTCTTCGTAGCAGCAGGCGCTGCTCCATTGGCTTGACTTGAACGACCTGCCTGAGGCAGAGGATCCTCGTGTGATGCTGCTGGGCCTTCCAGGGGTGGGGTCAGCTGCGCCACATTCGGTGTCTCGCCCCTCTCCTCCAAGTGCACCAGCAAGGAACATGTAGCCGAGGGCTCGAGGTCATCACAATCCTGTCGAGGAAATTGCTTGCATAGAACATAGAAGCAGACACTCCAAACAGCGCTGCATGCTGTAGGACAGTAACTTTTATGGAATTTTTGCAAACGGGTTTGATTTATCAACTGGACCGAAGCAATGGAAGCATGTCAGGACAGCAATCCAGCTTCGGTGTCCAGGAGCCTGTTAGCAATCTATCTCCGAAGCACATGTATTGTAAAACATGCCAATCAACTTTTCTTTTAACCCCATAACTGTTTTGGATGAGCCTCACTCGTAGACGTGGAGCCATTCCCAGCCCATTCAAGACGAGTGTAGCTCGTCTCCCTTCCCAAGTTCACCACTGGACCGTCGTGGATGGCCCAAGCTCGCTTATGGCTTAGTTTGCGACTCTGCCAACAAATGCGGCTAAAAATTTGATTTGAAAAGCAAAAAAAGCTTCCCCACAAAAAAAAAAAAAAAAAAAAAAAAAGGTTATGGGGTTAAACTTGACACGAAACATACCCAAATCGCTTTTGGCAACAGTAATAGGAGTAAAGCGGTTCAATTAGAATGTATGCAAAAATGCTTATCAATGGGAATTGTTAAATAAAATATATGATCTCATGCCACAGTACGTCTTCCGTTCCTGCTTCAGGCGTCCCAGGCTGGCCATCTGCAGCAGGGGTTCCTTTTCTATTGTAGACCCCCATCAGGATCTCTGCTTATCGAGGGAGGCACAAAAAATTTGAGAATGAAAGCAATGCACCTCCGAGCATAGTTCTTTTGAAAACGGAGAAATATAATGGAGCTTTCAACTCGTCAGATTCTGTACAGGTACCATCACTTATAGAAACTTGCCTTGTGCTGTGGAGCCTTCACCTGGACCTGGCTCGTTGGTCCGGCCAGTGTCCGTGGCCCTCGACGCAGGTGCACGAACCATGGACCTACCACCAGATTAATCATTACAATCGCAAACATGTTCACGATTCGAAGTGTGTGGGCCAATGTTTGTCCCTACTTTCTGCGGTGAATTTGCCCATCCAACAATCGGAGGAACTTGTATAGCACCCATGTCGGCTGCGTCACGTCTTCCCGGCCGGCACCACTTTTGCCTTTTGCCCCTTTGGACTCCTTGGCGTATCTGTCGCGAATCAGTCGCCACCGGCGCTTGCACTCCGCCTCTGTGACGCCTGAAATTAGGAACCTCATCAGGGCGGCACCAGCAAAATGAAAGCAATGGATTGCAAAAAGATACCATTAGAGGCAAAAAAGAATGCGCAATAATTACTCTCTCCCACTGATGTCATTCGGAAAACAAAACAAGAAAACAAGGTACTGATGTACTCAATAGATATTGGTGCATTAGTTTTCCGTGTATACTGCACACGACAGACACACAACCCAGTTTTCAACATGCATGCTGCTAAAATATTTGCATGCCAAATTTTTTATTCAAAAGCGGGACTTATCAGTGGCGCCTTGAGCATATGTTTGCGCGCACATCTAATGCACCTGTGGTAGGTAGTAGCAGCCTGGAGGTTTTACGGGCTCTAATACTTTCACGCGTGCTCATCACGTGGTTGTAGTAGAACAATGCATAATAAAAGCTGGGTGCCTGCATCAAGTAACGTTTCTGTTCGCGCTAATTACGTTGGCCTTTCGTTCAATAAAAGGAAAGCCAACGCCGGCAATGTACGCGGTTCACGCGGTCGCATTCACTATATAATACATTCTAAGTAAATAATTAAAACAAGGCGTAGGCGAACGCATGTGCAGAGTGCTGTTTGTTTGATTTTTGCTTCAGAAAAGAATACAGACGCCAGCACGTGAAGCGCGTTTACTTACGTTCCCCTTGATGCTTGTTTAGTTTAAAGATACGTATAGGCGATTGCAAGCAGGGCGTCTTGGCGCCGCTATTTCTTTGCTTGTGTGATAAAGCACGTGCAGTTGCAATTGCCTGGCAAACCTGAAGAGGGGATTTAGCCAAACGTATACCGTCGCGTGCATGCACGCATGAGG